CTTTTTTCTTCAGCACTGTCGGTTCCTGATCATGTGCTACACTTTGAAATGGCTGAATGTCAACCAGTTCTTTTTGGTCCAGTGATTCTATGTGTTCATCCATCTTCTTTGGATGCTTTCTGCATTGTTCAGTATTTTCCCTACAGAATCCTCCAACTTTCAACTAGCAACTTGAATTTTTTCATTGATTCTTTCAGCTTGATATATGCTGAATATTTTCTACCTTTCGTGGCATTTACACTCCAGGTCTTTGGACATTTCACTATACTTAACACGTTGTCCTCTCAAACTGCCTTTTGAAATTTTCTGTTCAGCTTATTTATTTCTTCCATTATTATTTTTATTTCTTCCAATTTTAGATTTAGGTACTCTACGTTCAAGAACAAGTTTCACAGTCTCTTATTATATCCACCTTGGTATTTTCTTTCTTTCCTGCCTTCTTAATAACTTTTTGTTTTCTTCAAGCACAATGTTCCTGATTTTGCCCCCAAACTGGTCAGGTCTTCTGTCAACACTGTTTAATGCAAAAAATCTGTTCTTGATATAGTCTCTAAATCAGGTGGGATATACTCATGTTTTGGCTCTTGTGGATCTATTTTAATTTTCTTCAGCTACTACCTTAACTCACATATGTGTAATTGATGTTCTGTTCTACAACCAGCCCTGACTTTGAGTGGGCTGCTGATATTGAGCTTCTCCATCCTCTCTTCCCACAGATGCAATCAATTTGATTTCCATATATTCCATTTGGTGAATGAAGTCCATGAGTATAGGTGATGTTCTTTGTTTAAAAAGGTATTTGTAATGAAGAAGCCATTGACTGTATAACATTCTTTCATGTGATCTCCAGCTTCATTTCTATCACCAAGGCCCTATTTGCACAGTACTAATCCTTCCTCTTATTTTTCAAGTTTCACATTCCAGTTGCCAGCAATTGCCAATGCATCTTGAGTGCATGTTTGACCAGTTTCAGAAAAAAGAATTTGGTTAAATTTCAAGTTTTTCATCACTAGCTTTAGTGGTTGGTGTGTAAATTTGACTAACAGTTGTGTTCACTGGGCTTCCTTGTAGGCATGTAGATAGTCTCCTTTCACTGTCAGCACTGTGCTTCAAGACACATCTTTTTTTTCAATCATTTTACTGGGGGGATCTTATCACAATCCATACATATATCCATTGCGCCAAGCACCTTTGTATATATGTTGCCATCATTTTCAAAACATTTTCTTTCTACTTGAGCCCTTGGTATTAGCTCATTTCCCCCCCTTCCCTGCTCCCTCTCTCATGAACCCTTGATAATTTAAAATGTTTTTTCATGTCTTACACTGACCGGTCTCCTTTCACCCTCTTTTCTGCTGTTCATCCCCCTGGGAGGAGGTTATATGTAGATCATTGTGATCAGTTCCCCCTTTCTCCACCCTCACCACCCCCACCTTCCCCTTCCTCTCCTGGCCTCGCTATTCTCATTTTTGGTCCTGAGGGGTCTATGGGTCCTGGATTCCCTGTATTGTGAGCTCTTAGCTGTACCACTGTACATGCTCTGGTCTAGCTGGATTTGTAAGGTAAAATGGGGGTCATGATAGTGGGCGGGGAGGAAGCATTAAAGAACTAGAAGAAAGTTGTTTTATTGGTGCTATACTGCACCCTGGCTCGTCTCTTCCTTGTGACCCCCTTCTATAAGGGAATGTCTAATTCTCAAGACAGATCTTGAAATGTTCTTTCTGACAATACATGTGATGCTATTCCTCTGTCATTACCTGCATAGTAAACCACATTATTATCAGACGCAAAATAATTCCATCTAGAATAACCCAATCCATTTTAGCTCATTAATACCTAGGATATGGACCTTTGTGTGTTCCACTCATCTTTTGGATGACTTCCGATTCTCTTAGAATGACACTTAGCACAGGAGTCCTAGTGGCATGGCGGGAACACTGAAAGGTCTGTGGCTTGAGTTCATCAGTCGCCCTGGGGAGGAAGATGAGGCTTTCTGCTTCCACAAGCACCTTCAGTCCGGAGACCCCAAAGGGCTGTCCTAGTCTGTCCGACAGGTGGCTCGGAGTTGGAATCTACTCAACGGCAGAGAGTTTGGGTTCCAAGTCCCAACGATTCATGATGGTTTCAGCCATTTGTCCTCCTTTTGAGCCGTGACCCCTCAGCAAATGAAGGTCATCCACGCCATCTCTTCTGAGGAGGCTGCTCTTCTCCCATTTTCTTCTGAGTGGCTTTCCGCCTGAGGGGATCATCTGACAACGTTCCACGGCGGAGCCCTCGGGAGCTGACAGTCTATTCCTACCCCCTAGACTGTTGTTAATCTAGAAGTTCCTCTACACCTTGGTCCTCCTGGGCGACCCTGCTGGTATTTGCAATACTGCTAACACAGCTTCAGTATCAAAGCAACACACAAGCCATCACAGTATGTTATTCTATGTATTGTGTATTAACAATTTAAAATTCACAATTCATTTTTTCTAAGGAGATCAAGAGATTCAAAGTCACAAACGCTATTTCACCCTTTGGGTTTTTTTGGGTATTCACTCTTTTCTCTCCACTTCCCCCCATCCCCAGTGGTACTGGGAAGGGCCTAGTCAGTCGACTACGAAGAAAATAAAGTCCTCTTCTGGCCCTCTTATATTACAGTCAGTCCTCTAGGCATATGAATCCTTCAAAAATGTACAAGTTTTCAGAAATTCAGAAAAGTCAAAAGAGAACTGGGGGAAATTGTTAACAAACTAGATGCCAGGGGAATATACTAATGGGAAAAAATCAACATAAGCTTCATAAAGTATAAAGTGTGGAGAGAAACATGTGCAGATACTTAAGATACAACATTATGGACAACTCACAAGTTATCTTAAAGGATAATGTATAATTTTGCACTTAAATTTGAATTTCAGTAGAACTACTTTTGAATTACAATTATAGTGAACAATGAAAACAGACTCTTTTATGGTTTAAGTTATAAGAGCTTGTAAGTTTTATCAGTTTCCTCTCCACCCTGCAGTTATCTACACGGAGAGATTGGGCACAGGTTCCACTTTATGGGTTTTAAGGGCACACATTCACCCTTTTTATGAATTCCTAGGAAATCGAACAGAGTGGAAGAAATAAAGTGCAGCTTTGAGTGAAAGACTTTTCATTCGTGTATTTATGCACAAATGTGCTACCCCAAATATGTTAAGATGTAAAACAGACATTTACCAAAAGTACATGTGTGAAGTGTTACACTGAAGCATAAACATGTAGTATGTAGTAACAATTTAACCCTATAGATTGGGCTAGACAATGACTACAATCTGACAACAAAATCAACTCAACATGCTAAAGAGTAAGTATGGTCAGCACAAAATCCACGTGACAGACTAAAACTGAAGTTGCATGATTCAAGTCAATACATTTATGAGTAACTTTAATCTTGAGTGCAAGCAACATCACAAATACCTTGGAACTGTTTCCTGAATAATATGATCATCTGAAATATTGAAATCGACTAATGATGACAAACTGGGTGACAATACTCATTAATTCCTGTCAGGTTAGGGTATTTTTAAGCAGCACTTAGACAAATGACCCTCGTGATCCTAATTGGGGCAACCCTGATGAGACAGCCTGAATTTGGTTTTGACTTGTCATGATAGATGTGCAGGCCTCTGGGGAAAAGGCAAAGTTATCTTATAAACAGCTAAAAATCTATTTGTTAAAAGATGTGTTCTCACTAATGGAGACTTAGTGTTACTGAATAAATACTGAAGAAAGGAGTAGCAGCAGTCAGTTTTTCAAGTCTGGAGCATAGGAGTGTTAACAAGTCCACCAGAGTTTCATTAGACTAGGTCATACGTGTGCTATAGTTTGATTAGATTAAATCACTTTCAATGCAAGTGTTTAAAACAATCTTTCTCAAATCACTAAATGTTCTTTACATATGCTAATGGCTAAGTGTTAATGTTTTTCACATGCATACTTTCTACTAGACAGTCTCATAAAGGAGCATGGTGTCGCTCTGCACTTCGACTGTACTCTGTTCCTGGTGTAGTCAGCTCGGAGAAGATGAAACGTGGGGTGCACTTCCTCATGCTGCCTGGTCTTTCACTGAGAGTCAAGATGGGACTCAAGCCCATGCCTTCACTGTGAATTAACTCTTACACCCGACTTGCAGGGCTCAGAAATGACCTCTCATTAATCTGAGTATGATATAGTGCCTCTCATAGGCAGGGAGAGCGACTGTTTAAAGTTGCCTGATCATACTCTTCTCAAAGAGGGAGCTTCAAAAAAACTCATGAAAAATTTAACTATTCTTTAATTCTATTTTCCATGAACAATTTAAAGCTCCTTCATATACTGTAAAATACCAAAAAAATATTAAATAATGGGTTTCTAAAGTCTTATTTTCTTTCCCTGCAAAACTAAAGTATCTGGGCGAATGCCATTTCAGACAAAAATCTGTGAAAAGAAAGCCACCCATTAAGCCATTAAACCAGAATTAGGATCGTCTGAACAAATAGGGGAAAACCTACACAATTCCACAGCAGATGGAACAGGTAGCGTGGCCAAACGGTGACACACAGACTGGTGGCCACTGGTTCGCCTGCATTATTAACTATCAGAAGGCAAAAGGGTGTCTCTGTCCACACTTCTTTGATGGGGAAAGGTTATGGCCAAATAGAAACTCAGCCACACCGTCTCAGGCAAAGACAACTGTTACTTGAAATCCGGAGCGTCCTGCAGATGCTTCTCATTTCAGATTCCTTAGAAAAATAACTGGGAAAGGTACTCTTCGATGTGAGCCCAATGAAGGGCTTGGCATGTAAAAAACAAATGACAATAATTAAGTTACCTTCACTGAGTAGAAAACATGAGCTTAATTTTCTTGAGGAGATATAACTTTTGGCTAAAGGGAAGAGATGAAAGTTTTCAATAGTGGCATTTTGGGTCACTGCAACCACAATCACTTTGCAGCTCCCCACCAGTTTTAACAAAGCAGAAACGGATCGCCTTACCGCTGGCGCTGTGTCTCCGTGCTGGCTGCAGGGCCTTCTTTCTGTGCTGACACTCCCTGTGAAAAGGAAAGACTGTGACTATTTGCTTGTTAGACTTATCCATTTTATTTCGAAAACATTTATGCTCGTAAGGCATGACTCCCACAGCTTATAGAAAAATGCTTCCCTCAGATGGTTGATCCTTTCAAGTCATTTCTTGCATCATTGGATCAGAAACAGTGGGGGAGTTTAGCTAACTCAAAGATCCGGTCAAGGTTAAGTTGAGTCAATTTCCCCATTCAAGCAGCATCCAGCAATAGCTCAAGATGTGTCCTTATCTTACTCGGCTCAGAAGTGAGACCATTATCTTGACTCGGCTGCATTTATGCTGTGGAAAGTTTATTTCTGACTTGAGGTCACCAAGTTTTCACAAAGAATTGATCACAGAGGTTATGAAAGGAACCCCTTCTTTGTTTTCTCAAAAATAAATAAAATCCATTTGAATTTTTCTTTCATCATTCAGCTTCCCGCGATGCCATAGTCCAGTCTTTAGCGCATTCAAACACCATGAAGTATCTAAAGAAAGAGGCTCTGATTCTCTCCTTTACAATGATCAAAACTTGGGGGGGGAAAACTTTTATTATGTTCGGGTTTATCTTTTTGTTCTTCAAGTCTTTCTCTGCATTTTTTGGTAATGAATCACCTTTAAGGATATAGCATAATACATCTCATCTGGAAAGATATCGGTTCTAAGTCAAGCTGAAGTTGAAAACACACACAGGTGTAGGTCTCATTAACTTTTCCATCTCTGTCCATCAAGGAATCAACATCTGGGTTAGCATATTAGGATGAAACCCTTTTCCAGAGAGTCCATCCTACCTCTTAAACCCCCTCACCCCACCCACGTCATGTCCCCCTCTATCCCCATAAGGCAAAGTCAGCTGCCCCATAAGGTTTCCAAGGCTCTGAGGACATCAACTGAGTGAAGAATGGGTTTGAAACACCAACCTTTTGGTTAGCAAATGAACACTTAACACACTGCACAATTATAGCTTTTCATTAGTTTGTTCAAATCATACTAAAGCTGTTCACATGCAGGGCTAGTCAGAGGTGAGAATGATATGTGCTGTTAGCAATTAGCAAAGTCTTAGCTGAAAAACCCAGCCACTCAGTGGAGAAAGAAGAGACTTTCTACTTCCACACCGTGGCAGTCTAAGACACCCACGGGGCCATGCTTCCTCTGTCCTAGAGGGCTGCGATGAGTCAGAATCCACTCTGAGGCCGTGAGTGGGATTGTGGAGTTCTACAATTCATGTCCATTTAGAAACCTCCTGCCACAGAGTCGAGGGAAAAAGTTAGAGGAGCTCTTTAATAAAAGCCGAACAAACCCCAAGGTAGCCAACTGTTCACTTAAAGATAGTCAATGAGATGACAACACATGCCCATTTTAAAAGAAGATAAAACTGGCCTCCAGAAAGTTGATCAGAAGGTATGTAACTATACCAAGCTCACACAGCCACTGAGCAAGACCAGTCCTGAAACCCACCTGTCTCTGTTCCAAGTGCCCCATGTGTATGCTGAACTCCTGGGGCTGGACCTGAGTTTATACATCTTCATACCCACAGCGCAAAAGCTGGGTACACAGAAGGCTCTCAGGAGTTGACTTGAAGGCTGACTGTAGTCAGTTATGCCTACCAGGTTCATATCCTATAAAGCAACGCTAACTGTGTGCACTAAACATCAGAAAATCCACATGAATGCCCTGGAACTCTTTTTAAAACTGTCAATTTACTTTCCTCCTCTGGTAAAAGTCCTCAACCTACTGCAAAATTAAAATGTGTTACTGACAAATGTTCCTAAATTTCCAGATATTCATTAACAAGAATAGAAGATAATGGGACAAACTGTATGCTTCTTGGGGGACACAACGTATTTTACTTTGGAGAGATTTAGAACAAGTGCCTTTATTCCACGTATCTCTGACTGATGTGATGGAGAGAGACTAATATACTTTTAGTTTTCTTGAACATTAGCAATCGACAATGCAGAACTGTGATCAAAGGAAAGGGGGAACAAAGACATCAGCCACACTGCAAAAACATAAACAGGCAAGACTATGTGCCAAATTCTACAGCGAGAAGACACTTCCCACATTTTTTATGATGGAAAGATGTTGAAAAAGATGTTGAAAGGTCTCCCAATAAGCACAGGGCATTGTGTGAAGAACAGGGGAACTTCTATTCTCCCGCCCATGACACCTTTTCAAGAGTTATTTACATCTTAGGAAATACTAGAACCATCCATCCTTTTTGAGTTTTGGAAATCCCCATGAACTCTAGATGATACAGAAAGAGAATTATGTTATAGTGACCTAAGGCTGTGATCTAAAAAAAGAGAAAGAAATACAATTTACTATACTAGAGAATGCAAATTGTTAGACAGCAGGTGTCTTTCTGTAAAACTTATTAGATGGTTATCTGTATCAAGATTTCAGCCCCTTCATAAATTTATATTTTGCAAACAGCATTAATTTATTTCTAGAAAGTTCCTCCCAATCAATGCTAAAATGAACACAATCAGCAACAGAACGAAAGAATTCAGAAAGTTATCTGGATATACAATTTAATGTCCTTAATATATTTAAACCGCCAGGTAGAAGATATTGTGAAAGAAAATACCCTGAGTATGAAAGAAACATGAAAGATAAAATACTTGAATAAATTGAACAAGAAATGGGCAAAACAGTGGGAGGAAAACATTAAAATATATCTGAAAGACACAAAAGTAGTCTTGAACAAATGTTCTGAGACCGAACAAATAACACAACTTTTCCCAATGGAAGAATTTAATTTTTTAATGTGATCTCATTAAAAATAACAATTTCTTTGTCCCAGTGCTAGACAAGTTTATTCTAAAGTTGCTATAAAAGAAAATACAAAAAGAACTAGAAAAATTCTGAAAAGAGAGAAATTAGTGGGTACAAACACAACTTAATCGGGAAGACATAATATGGAAAACCCTCTGTAATTAAAGCATGGTGTTTACCCATGAGTAGACCCTGACAGAATAAAAATGTTAAGAAAAAGGATGGAGTCTATATGGAATGGTATGAATACAAAGAAATACCCTTTAAATACATAATACTGGACAACTGTCATTTGGAAAAAGAAATTAGATCCCAATCTCATACCATACGCCACAGATAGTAAGTTCCTAATGAAGTATAGAAATAATGCTAAAACTGAAGCTAGACCAATCCTGCAATAAAACAAGTTGGATTCCTGCATGAAACGAAATATCTGGAAAGCCTTTCAAATGTGTGCATTCAAAGTTAAAAGTCAAACAACAAACGGAAAAATTGCAAGTATGTTATAGAAAAAGGGCAGGTCTCTCTATTATGTAAAGGGTTCTTAAAACACAAAGGGAGAGAAACATATGAAAAATCTTTAAGAAAAAGGACCGAAAGTAAGTAGACTACTTTAAGGAGACAAAAAGTGGTATTTAAAATATAAGAAGCAGCTCAGGTGTACTTAATTTAAAACATATATTCCAAAGCTATAATGAGAAACTCTTTGTCTTTTTGGATTGGCAAGATTTCAGAAGTTTAACAAGCAACTCTGGACAGGGACTCTCCTAGACTGCTGGTAGGAAAGCAAGATGGTACAATCCCATGAAGGGAAAGACAACTATACATCCGTTTAGCCCTTTATCCAACAAACCCAATGATAAATGTTTATCCCAGAGACACACACTGACAAATACCAAACTGTTCACCAACAAGGCCATTCGCTAGGATGTTACCATGTTGAAGTTTACTTCCTTGTAGTTTATTCACATAGTGAAATACTAAAGCAGCTATATGAAATCATGAACAGGGTCTCAAAGAAACGAAATGGAGTAATTTCCAAGATATGATATTGAGTGGAAAAGCATATGTGTACGTACACACACACATACACACAGACACACACCCTGTGCTCTCTTCATTACCTAGTTTGAACAATTCTCTGGATTAGTAGGATAGCTTCCCAACCAACATCCCACTACCAAAGTGACTCTTCTAAAGGGAAAACTGAAATCCTGTTATACAATTGTTAGTGTTTGATTATTCCCTCAGCTAGCTCTAACTGAAGACTGAAATCTGTTTAAACCATGGTATTTGGGACAGGCTCTCAATAGCTGAGTGAGACTCTAAACCCATTGCTGTTGTTCAATTTCACTCACAGCAACCCTATAGGATAGGGTAAAACCGCCCCGTCTTTCTCCCCAGAGTGACTGGTAAGCTTAGACGGCTGGCCTGTCCATCAGCAGCAAGATGCATCAAGTCCTGTGCCACCAAGATACCTTTCAATGAAGTTCTGATCATCATCCAACCACTGACCTGAATTAGAAGCTTCATCTCGGTTACTCTCACACCCTACCTATTACCACTCACATTCCAAATCAATAATACTTAATGATTTAACATTGCTGCTTTCTTACCTCAGTTCTTTTTTTCCTACCTCAAGTATTAAAATAATCTTTTAATTACACACCCATCCTACTTGGAATGTCCTGATATTTTTATGCCAGGTAGTTGTCTCATCTTCCAATAGTTTAATACAGTCTCCTCGATTGCATCTCAAGGTAACATAAAAACAAACAAACAACCTATAACTGCACCAGTAAACAACATCATGATAAACAGAAAAGAACGAAGTGATCAGGAATTTCAATGTTTGGACCTGAGTAGGAGGAGCAGTCAAGAAATAAAATGAGGTACTGCACTGGGCAAATCTGCTGCACAAGACCTCTTTAAAGTCCTGAAAAGCAAGAGCGTTACATTGAGGACTAAGGTGTGCCTGACCCAAGACATGGTATTATCAATCACCTCAAATGCATGTGAAAGTTGGACAATGAATAAGAAGGCTAAACACATTTTGATTTTGGTGTTGGTGAAGAACACTGGAAGTCCTATGGACTGCCAGAAGAATAAAATCTTTCTTGGAAGACGTACAGCCAGAATGCTCCTTGGAAGCAACGATGGTGAGACTTCATCTCACGTACTTGGGACGTTATCAAGAGGAACCAGTCCCTG